ACTGAGTGGCCAACTAGTTCCCAGAGTGCACTGCGTGGTATTTCGCCGCGTTGGGGCGCGTCGGTTTTGGAAGAAGTCCATTACGACAAGAAGTGCAGACCTCAAGAGACGTTTAAGCTTGAAGGTTGCTTCGGGTAAGTAGGCTCGATGGGTGTCCACGCGGAATGAATCGCCGCATGTTACATGATTCACGCCAAGAGTTGCGGTGTATCGAGCCTCGTTAATTTCGCTGAGTCCGCTCAAGTATCAGACATTGCCAGGAAGACGTAAAATCAACAATTCCAACGCGAAAAAAAAAAAAAAAAAACGGGGACTCTACACTGACGTTGACCACATTCCATTCCAATGGCTTGTTTACGGACGACGGCGAGCTTCTTGCCCACACCCCTATCGCGCATGCGCGGCGTCGGTGGCATCCGCTAGGGGCGCTCCGGTTTGTTTGTAAACCTGAGTTGGTGTATAAGAAGGTCCTTCAAGTGCACTGCCCAACGATGCACTTGGAATCACCAATCACCGATCATCCTTTCGTCCGTTTAACCAATGGGATGGGCGATCAGTATCGTGCTCTAATAGCCACGCCAACAGGTGTGGTGGACACTGGGCACGACGGTGTGCATGAGAGACATACTCCGTTCACCCCTAAGCTGAGACCACTACGCTCCAGCCGGACCAATCAGCCGCCTCCGTCTCTCACTTGACCCGGCTCTCTGCGTGTGAGTAGGGGCGTGACCATGATGACGTGGCGAAAGAGAGGCGTAGGACTGGTCCAACGACGACGTTACCTCCACCGCAGTCTCAGCTTGGGGCGGACACCAGGCACGTAGCCAGGGGGTGGGGCATGCCCCCCCCCCCCGCCCCCTCTCCCCGAAATCTTCCATTTTGCTGGGACCTCCTCTCCCCCCTCGCTCCCATACAGAATTTTGCCATGCCCCCCCCCCCTCCCCCCCCCCCCCCCCCCCCCAAACAAAATCCTGGCTACGTGCCTGGCTGATACTCCGTAGGCTAACTTAGGGCTTAACCTGCGCAGGTTAGCTTAGGGCTAACTGGCGCAGATTAAAGCTTTTATCATACTTCCTTCTTTCTTTTTCTTTGTTTCAATTTTAGCAACATGGATAACACATAACAAGGCCAAAGCGACCTCGGAAAAACTAGGCTCCACTGAGCCGGAAGCCTAGTTTAGGAAAACAGAAATGGAACATCCACTGCGCTACTTATCCGTCTTCTACATATGCCTGCTGAGCTTGTCAGTGGCAGCGTTACAAATTGAGCGCACTAAAGTCTAACACTGGATCAAAACAGCGTTGCTCCCATATGCCAGAATGAACATTGGGTCACCGCAGATCGCACTTCTACCACTCGGGGAGTTTCGCCAGAACTGAACCATAATCGGGTTCGAAATTGATCCGGACACAATTTGAACCTAATATCCAGAATTCAATATTTTTAGAAATAGCTGGCTCCACCTGGTGGAAAACCGGGTTCCAGGATTCCGAGGACAAAACAATGCACGGATTAGGATAGAGAGTGAAGAAGCCTTCAAGAACGAACTTGGGAGGAAAAAATAAACCTCAATATGGGGAGAAAAAAAAAGGCTCTGTGGGAGGACATCTGTATTAAAAAGAATGTGTAGGTGCAGTTTAGATTACATTTACAAGACGTACACGTTTCAGACGCCAAAAGCATCGCTTGTTCCTTCCTCAACCGAGTCCTTTAAGAACTATTTCGCGCGGCGTATGAACACTGAGCAAAACTTTCAGCACCGCTTGATCGTCGGCGGCGATCGGGCGTAAAGGCATGGCCAAGCTCTTGATTTTTTTCCCACGTGCAAGGCGCGCTCTGGTGAGAACTTCATGCACGTATGTTTTTGGGCGCGATACGAAGGTCCTCACTCAACGTAACACTTGCACACACTCCAGCCAAGAGCGAAGAAGAACGCAGTGTGTCCGCGTACTGAAACCCGAAACGTATAGATGAGATGTACCAAGGACAGCAAACGTGCGCGCAAATATATACAAACACATGCACAGCTACAGGCTAATGTTGACATTAACGTTGCGCAGCGAAGACCTTTAGCTTTGAAGTTCGTGTGCACCTACCTGAACCGTCCATTATATACTCCTATAGTCAACCGAATGACGAATGGTCGGATAAATTGGGACGAACCTGTATACAATAACAACGTAACCACGCATTGACAAACACCGACCGTCTTTTTTGAATAAAGATGAATAGAGAAGATTGGTAGCCATCTTGCGCCATTTAGCCCAGGTTGTGTCGGCATTCGAATGAACAGTGAGAAAGAGAGAGAAGAAAAAAGGAAAACAAGGGGAGACGTCAGGTCGGCAGCTGCATTGTGTTAACCTAATTACCAACGCCGGGTTTTGAACATTACCATACCATCGATCGTCCTCTTTACGTTTCTTTTGTTTTCTCCCTCGGCCAGTTCAGAGTTTGTGCCCGGTTTAACCCACCCGCCCCCCTCCCTTCCTAAGCTCAGAGGGAACCCTCGGCGCCAAACGAAAGCCCTCAAACAGGGACGGGCGCCGAATAAATTACACCTGTCGCGGGAACTGCTCTAGCGCACCGCAACAGGGGTACCGTGCAAGCCGCGTTCACAACGTCGTACAAAAGACACTCTGCAGAAGCTGTCTGTGGCCTGTTTCCTCCTTATATGAAGGCCCTGTCAAATAGGCCATGAAGCCGGCGTCACACTGTCCCTATACATCACACAAAAGACAGTCCGCAAGCACAAGTCACCGCAATATCCGTGGTTCAAATGCCGCGTGCCGAATTTTCTCCTCGAACTCATTGCCACGCGGCACTCGAAGCACGGATCTCGCCGTGCCTCGCCTGAATGCAGACTGTCTTTTTTGTACGTATAGACCTTTCCAGAAAAGGGCTGCTGGCCGGTTTCATTTTCAGTGTTCGTGCGTATCGCGCGTGATTTGCTCGCTTTCCGAAGCGACGCACACGCGCGTGCTGAGCTGTGGAGATCGGACGCTGAGCTGTGGATTTGTAAACATTGGAAAGGTCTATAACCAGCGTGATCCTAGCTGAGCCGCGAGCTCGGCTGGGCTCGCATTTAGCGCGAGCGCTGCGTCCGCGTTCGTCGAGGAGTCGGGTCCAATCGCATGCCTCGTGCCCAAGGATGGATGGATGGATGTTCATGGTTATATCCTTTGTAATGGGCAGTAGCTTGCGCCACCCAGCCTAAGAAATGGCGACCGCCACAGTGTTGCTCGATGAGCTCTTGAAAAGGGGTCTATTAGAGTCACTAAATAAGCTACGCTCAGGTCGTCGGCATTCCATTTCCAGATTTTTCTCGAGGGCATCGCCATTTTGGTATTCAGCGCAGAAATGGACGTGTAATTGGCGGTCGATAAGAATTGAAAATGCTACTTCCCGAGGTGTGGATACTGTGTGGGGAAGCACGTGCGAAGTCGCTTTGCTCTTTCGAGGACTGTTTTAACGTTCCTCGAGGACGGAAAACCGTTTCCTGGGATTTTAGATAAAGCTTCGGGTAAGCAGACAACAATGTTTTTGACTACCAAGATGGCCAAAGTGTGTTACTCCGAAGCGTAGCTTCTTCGGTGGCTCCAGGTTCAATCGAGCAGTGTCACAACAGCAACGTCACGACGTTTGTCATGTTTCTTACGTGCACCACTATTGGCCATACCAACCAAGCGCAGCAGGAGGCGCGGCCCGTGACCTCCCTTCCCGCTTTGAGTGCGTGTGTTCTTGCCTGCGTGTTTTTTGGCCTATTCGCGGTAAGAAGCTCGCTAGGGACGCTTCTGTTTTCTTCACTATGAGCAGCGCATCAGCTACCCACGCGGTTATGTTTTAATTCTCATAGTGCATGGAGGCTTGGCCTTGCACGTGCTTGCACCAGCAGAGGAAGTTGAAGTATCATCACTCGGGGTTGTGAAAACATTCCCACCAGGCGGCAATACCCAAACTTCTTGCAGCGAAAAGGCCGTGCAAGTTCGTCTGCTCCTTGTCATCCTTGTGAACACCCGCGCATTTGTTTGTTTGTTTGTTTCCTTCTCTCCACCCCCCTCCCCCTTCAACCAATGACACCACGAGCTTGGCTGCCTCGTCACCGAGCGCTGTGTTCCCCTTTGATTGGCGTGCCCATCTTTGTGTTTCGATGCTTCAGAGACGCATTTTAGACACTTGCTCGCCGTGCAGTCCGTGCAGGTACTCAGTTTCAACAATACCAAGCAAAAAGCGAAAACTCCGGCCTCCCTGAGCCAACCAGAGGGTCGGAGCGAAGTACGCGTGATGACGCCCTGACAGAGTGCGCTCTTCCCGTGGACACCTGTCGTCACCTGTTTAGCTTCGGCACTTTGGTTGACTCACGAGGGGTCGTAGCGTCAGTCCAACGACAAAGTTGTGCCGAAAATGACCATAGTAAAGCCGCGATAGAAACTACGACGCGGTCCTTTCTGCGAAGTCGGAGTCGACGAGGAACCACCCTGGAAGCAGGGAGAGTGCAGAAACAAACCCAAGGACGGCAAACCAAGCAGATTTGGACGGAAGAATTCACGCGGATCGAATACCGGCGACCTCAGTTCGTCGAGCAGGATGCCGGTCATCTTTGTGCCACATCCGTTGGCTGCTTCCGAAGGTTGATCTTGGTGGGTAAGGTCCAAGGTCACGGAGTGTACGAAACCCCCACTAAGAAGCGTCACATCATCAGCCTTGCTTTCGCCTGTTTTCAACCCTCCGTTAAGAACTTATAACTAAAGAACAGCGAAAACTAAGCCTACTTAGTCTGTAAGGGAACAGCGAACGAGGGTCAACAGTTACTTCAGAAACGCAAGGGTTAGTTCTGATTGGTCCCGAGCATTTTATCTGCAGAAATTAGGAACAACGCCGAAGAGCGAACCAGGAAGCAAGAAGAAGCCACGAATTTCTAAACTGTGAGTAACCATAGTCACCCCAAAGGACTAAAATGGCGGCGGCAAGAATGGCGTCCATGAGACGCTCCTCCGACTCACCCTGAGGTCCTTGAAGAAGATGGTGCTCCGCGCCCAATCTACTTGCGCGAAGAGCGACTGGTCGATCACCTTGCACATGAGCTCGAACAAGTCCACCTCGCACTGGTTGTACGTCTGGTTCTGAAGGAGGCCGAACAACTGGCTCTGCCACTCCTTGTCGTCCATCATGTTCTTCTGGAACTCCCGCACCAGGGCCGGGACCTTGGCGTCGTCCGGATGCTCGCCGCCCAGCGCCGGTTCGTACGGCGGCTGCGGCGGCGGAAACGCCTTGGGTGGAGACGACGGGCCGCTCTGCGTGAGCCAGGCGGGCGTCGGGGGTGCCGGCAGCGACGGTGGCGGGGGTGCCGCCGCACTCTTGGCCGGCTCACCCTGCGGCCCGTAGTGGTGGCCGCCACCCTGCTGCGCGGGCCCCTGCTGCTGGGAGCCCGAAGGCACCAGCGCCATGGACTGGCCCACCATGCCGGGCAGCGGGGACGGCGACGAGTCCGGGGAACTCGTAGACGAGCTGAGCTGCGGGATCTGGATCTCCTGCTTGATGGGTCCGCCCGGGTCCGGGGAGTAGAGACCGGGAGACGAGACCGTGGCCGAAGGGGGCAGCGCGTAGTGGACCCCCGCGACGGGGCCTCCGCCCCCGAGGGATCCCGAGGCCTCCGAGCCGCCGGGACACTGGTTTTGGGTGAGCTGCTTCTGCCGGAGCATCTGGAGCTTGCGCGCCCGGTCGCGCTTGTACATGGGGCCGAACTTGTTCCGGCCGCCGCGCATCCGGTCCGCTCGCACGGCTGCGCAGAGAGACAGAGGGTTAGTTTCTTCGTGGGTTTCGGAAACACATCTTACGCTCATTGCCGCTCAACGCTCAGTAGAGAAGAACGGCTTCGATACAACTCCTCGAAATGTACGGTCATGTATGCTAAAACTCTTTAAAATAGTTTCGCGATTTTTTTTTCTACATTAGCATTTTTTTTTTGCGACTTTATTGGGTGAACTTAAAAGAGCTCAGTCCCACTGGGCCAACACCCGGTAACACACGTCAAAAAAGGATCTCAAGGTCGGTAAACACGGAAGACAAGAACGCGATCGTTGCCGCGATATCATGTCTCAAAAGACTGTACGACATAAATGGGTCGTTGGACAACCGCTTCTATTCCGTTACTTGTGAGTTATGGAGGTTTAGAAAGGGGGAAATTAGGCCACCTGAAACTGGCGTCTGATGATCCGCTGTAGATGCTCTGCCTTCTGTGTGTGAGTTTACTGTTTTGTAGAACACAGAGACGGCCAATCACGGCAAAAAGTACAAATATATATCCCAGTATATGACGAAGCTCCGAGTACGACTATATATTTAAAAATAAATCTTATTTGTTGAGGGACAATCGCCGGGTCTTTCAATTACTCGCCGTTATTTGCTGTCTCAGTGACGCAGAAAAGACCTCACAGACTTTTTCAGGGTGCGACTGGATGGATGGCAGTGGCTGCAACTCTCGTATTGGTTGCTGGCTCGCGCCATCTAGCCTGCACTATTTAAATATTCGCGACCGCTATATGCGCAGAGAAACCGAGGGAGAGGGGGAGAAGAGAGCGCGCGGGAAAGTTAGAACGTCCAGCTCTGATTGGACTGATTAGTGGGCAGACTTAACGCTAGCTCCCTTTGTCTCTACGAGTTAGAACGCGTTCGGCGTTCCGCGTTGTAAAGCGTTCGGCGAGTGTAGTGGAGACAAAGGCTGCCTTGGTCTTTGCTGCACTCGTCGAACGCGTACCAATGCGAACTTCCAACGCCGGACGCCGGCGTTCTAAGGCGTTCGACGAGTCCAGTGGAGACAAAGGCAGCTAGCTTTTGGTCTACTCACTAATCAAGCCAATCACAGCTCGGCTTTCTGACGTCCCCTCTTGTCTCCTCCTCTTCCTCACTTTCTCGGCGCATTCAGTTGTCGATAACCAGAATAAACGAAAAAAGTGGAAAATAAAACAAGTAGACTGTCGCACGTGCCCCATGAACCGGAACGTAATTTGCACGCAGCGCTACCCCTACTGGACGGCGAAGGCGAATGCTTTCTAGACTGAGTTACGGGCAAAATTAAGCCAAGTAGAAAAGTACCTTTGAAAACTGACCTCGAAACTGAGATAAACGAAAAAAAAAAGGGGGGGGGGGGGGGGGGGGGGCATCACAGACAAAGTTTGAGACTCTGCATGTAACGTCCCCTTTTTTCTAAAGTCTCGATGTTATTTTCAAAGATGAATTGTCACCAGCTCGCCTGTTGTTTGAGTATTATATAAGAAAACCAGGTCGTCGGATGGACCCGATACACCGTGCACTGTTCAATGCCTCTTCACACGGGAGCGTCCCTTCCTCTCAGGTGCAGAAGACGAGGATGTAGGAAAGAAGAGGGAAGGAGGAAGAGGGGGTGACAAGCTAGACAAGCACGGGGAGAAAGAAAGGAAGAATGAGGAGAGAGAAGATATGGGAGGGAAAATGCCGCCGCCAAGACACGCTGACCCCGATAGCAGACACGTGACTTACTCTCCACTTCTGCGGAGGCTGGCACGCGGGCTACGCGGGAAACAGACGAAACAAATGTCTGAGGGCCACGTGTGTTCCCTATCCTCCAATGTCAGGTGTGGTTTGCTCGTACTCCAGCACGCGCGATTTACAGGAAGCTGAGCGTTTCGGCACTGCGGGAGGCGTGAGCCACTTTCCATCCTTGCGCCTTGTACACTTCTTCACTGAGCAAATATAGTTGAGTACAGTGAGGTAGTACCTATTCTTAACACTGCCATTCGTTTTTGTTCGCAAAATAAATATTTTGCTGTCTTATGTTATCGTAAAACGCGTAAGCGCGCAGGCAAACTAGGGGAAGTTAACTGGTGGAAGTTATATATATATATATATATATATATATATATATATATATATATATATATATATATATATATATATATATATATATATATCACACGAGCACACACACACGTGGGTGTGTGTTCTTTCTTTTTTTTTATTATGTTGTTTCCGAGTTTCAGACAAGAAAGAGGCAAGCCGCAAGTGGCCCCGACGAGGGAGAGGGCTCCAGAGCGCACGAAACAAGGTTTGAAGATCCCTTCCGTAGAGAGACTCGTAGGATAGTCGTGCATTTGAAAATGCCAACTCTTCTTTCACTATTATCAAGAGGCGTCATTAGGCAGCTGGAAACGCGCGATGTAGGGGGAAGCTATGCAGCCTGTGCTCCGAAGAAAGGGATAGCACACATGGATGTCCTGGATTCTTACACCCGTGGCAACACCCATTCAGTAGCACTATGAGCTATGCGCAGTTTTCAATTGCTGCATACACACACACCCCTTATTTTTGAGGGGCGTAAAGAGGGTGCTGCAGAAGAAAAGTATGTAAGGGACCTTACACACTCTGTATGGGCACGCGCAGAGCTTTAGGGGAGGATGTTTTCGCGCCTATATCGAAAAATGATTTCCCAAACTAATGCATTTGACCTGGAGATGCACTCCAGGAACTTCTGAAGTTCTGTATTATGCTTTATGTAAAATATTGTCGAGAACAAAGGAGCATGCATACTTGCAGCCTTAGCAATTGCGGATGCCGAACACCCGCGCATCGGTGTTTTTCAATAGCCGAGTACATACGGGGGTGGAGCAGTCAACGGTGATCGTCCTTCCGGTCTTGTGCGCGCTTTACTGTGTTTCTGTGCGTGTGCGACAGTATGGGGGACGTGTTGCTTATGAATTTGATGCTCGCAAAACGTATCTCAAGGATGTTGCAAAAATCGCAAAAGCCTTAAGTTTATTTGAGTTCGCCAGCAAAATAAGACGAACTAATTTAAAGATGCCGCGAAATAAATTTTGCGCTGGGAGAAACGATTTTGAATTGGGATTTTATAATCACATGTCGTTTAGCGGGCCAAAAGGAAGAAGGTAGAAAGTCAAAATCCAGGTTTTCGGTGCGAAAATTGGAAAATATAGCCGACTATTTCGTACCTCCTTTCCTTCGAAAGCTCTCCACCTTTTCCATGCGATACATTCGCTGTATCCAAAGCGCGTCAACGACCCCAGTTAACGCATTGGGCACGAGCACTACGTCACTCGGACGTATGCGCTCGTCAACACCAGTATCCATCTACGAATATTTGGATTCGCGTTCGTGGCCAATGGGTGCCGTGATGGCACTTCTCAACACTTGGGACGAGTTCCACGGTGTTCTTAAAAAGCACGGTGAAAACTTGGAGTCGTCGCAGCGGTGCCCAATTCGTCGCGACCGCGTGATTTCTCACTTCACTTCATATACCCAAATTTCTAGGACGTCAGCGCCTCGGCACACGCACTAAAATTAGAATTTCAACTGAACAGCAACACCGCAATGTTCCCCGGGAATCTTTTAGATTAGTCATGAAAGATCAATAACCAGTAATTAAACCTTTGGACGAGTCTAGTTTTTATTCCACGGCTCTACAATTGTTTTTTCATTACTCTTTTATGGTTTGCATTTAGAAAATTATTAATATCTGATTTTCTTGACAAAAGATCGTAATGTTCCCGATGTCTGTAATAGTCGGGGTATCATATAAAGCAAATCAATTAGAACTTCGGTATTTCCTCGAAAACATTTTATTCCACGAAATGTCCCAGAAAGTTGGCCATGTTGAGTTTAGGATTAAAGTAAGAAGGAAGAAGTTAAAAAATAATGTCATAGCCCTTTCATAAATATAAGGGTCCAGAAGTCATTAGGGTGGAGCACGTGGTTCGCTCATTAGAAGATCGTAACGCCTTTCATTCTGTGCTGGATACTTTGTAACGCCGATGCCCCGGACAGCTGACAGCCCAGAGCTATCACTCGACTACCGCATAACTAACCAAACGAAAAGCGGGAGAGCTCCGCGATCTTGTTCACAAATAACGCCGTTCGATCCTCGTCGATACATCGCCCTCCTCCTTCCGCGCCCTTTCTCGCCGCTTCTCCTCACCTCGTTCGAAGTCGTTACCCCCCGAGCGCATCCAAACGAGCCTTGCATAACGCGAGGAAAACGCAATACACGGCATCCATACTAATTGCAAAGCCCCGACCGGCGAACACAAACAAACACCGCTCCATTGTTGGCCCAGCACTCGTTACCGAGGAGGCCCCCCGCTCCGAGTAGACCACGCGCGGACTACTCTTGCTCCAACAATACACTGTCAAGCCCGTCTACAAAGCGCTCAACGCGACCAGCGGCAGCAACAGTAGCGACCGCCGGGAGACAATTTTTGCAAATCCTCCATTGTCACAGCGCTCTCTCTCTTTCTCCTCCGACTCCCGGCAAAGTTTCGGTGGCCGGGAGGGAAAGAGACAGGCGAATGCAACAACGTGCTCGGCGGCGGCGGACGGGCGGTCAAAAGACGGGACCTTGACCAACTCACGCGACGTTTGTGTGCGGACCCAGCCGACGACACACTGGACGAGCAGACCAAATAGCCGGCTGCAGCGCACGTGTGGCGCCCGCAGCGCACGCTCGCTGCGTACCACCGTGGACCGCAGCGGGCGCTTACAAGCCGCCCCAGCCAATCCAGAGCTGCTAACTCTTCACGAGACTACCTGACTGTATACGTTGAGAAATTGAGGGAGAGGGAGGGCGCGGCGACGTCGGAACCTTCGATCGCGTTCGAACGCCGGCGTCCCAAGCTCGGCATTCGCGTTCGAAGAGCGAGTAGAGGCAAGGGAAGCAAGCTTTTGTAATTATGATGCATTTAAATGCTAAGGTGCAAGCGAGCTGGACAAGAATGACGAAAGTAATCCCTGGAG